ATTCTTTGATTTACTTTTTTTTGTCCTCAAGAGCAGCGTGGGGATGCCAGTCAAGCTTGTTATAAATTGTTATTCCAAGATACTTGTAAAAGCTTACCATCTCCACCTCTTCATCTTTAATAATAAATAATAGTTGCAATCGGTCTTTTTTACTCTAATGTCTATTATTTACATGCAGAGAGGTGGTTATCACAACAATTTGTAAATACATTTACAGCGTCCCTGGATTCATTCTCATTTGTTGTTATAATCATTTTAATGTTATTAACAGAGAACATGAAAACCTCATTGTACAACCAGCCCCGCTGTACCGCCAACTTCATGCTCGCCCCAAGGTAGGCGGTATAACGAGGTTTGGGGGTATGCATAATATATATTCTGTTTCTATTTAATTTAGCCACCAAAAGCTCGATATACCGTACGTAATGATTACACTCTCTACTGTATAGCTCTCTACTCAAAGATCTCATACAACAAGATGATTCACTCCACTGAAATCCCTCAGAGATATTTTCAGTTTGCCTTTGTCGCGCACTATTGGTGCGCCAACTTTACTCTTCCCTGGGAACTGACTAAGAATAAATTAATACATTTGGGAGAGTAGTGTCCTCGTTTGAACGTAGAAACTGTAGACTCACAGCACATTCGCCCTTTGGGGAACCGGTGTCTAGTATTTTGACATTTGATTCCAAAACAAGCTTTACCTGGCTTGCGCAGAAATAATAATCTCGATATCTTTTAGCTCAGTTCCCCAACACGAGTGACAAGGGACAAGGGGGAGAAAGGAAGAATACGAACTGTTCAGTTTTGCCACCTTTAAGAGGCTGAAATGTACGTAATGCCCGCTCACATGTATTTTCAAGTAAGGCAATAACCCTCTATAGCTTGATCACTTTCGTCTGACAGCGGTTAAAACAAGATATTATGAAATCGCTCAGTTCAATCTTCTCGGATCTTTGCATATACGAGTTGGATGACCAATAGAATCTGAAAGCCCATTTATAAAAGTCACTGCAGACTAAGATTCCGACACGTTTTCTTTGATGTTAGCCTAACGCGGGTTAGATTAGAAATAATAGGGGATTTACAACGTACACCAAAAACGGTGGCGCCACTGTCTCAAAATGAGCAATTTGTAGACAAGGCTACTGTAAGCCATTTATTTTAATGATCCCGTGTAATCATCCAAAGGGCGGTTTTTAAATGTAGGGCCCAAACAAAAAGTCTTTTTTTTTAATCATTGGGTAAAGATTTTTATTTTTTTTTGTTGGTCGCTGGCCTGCAGAAGTGGCATGCAAAGTTTCGTGGGCATACGTAAATTCCTCAAGGAGCTAGAATATTTTTAACGCGGTCATACGAACATGAACAAGCTATAAAATCGCCGAGAACAAGGTGCTCGCCCTTGGTTGCAAGAGTGCTGGTTTGGACAACAATGTATTTACATCATGTACGGTAATGTACCTTCATGCAATGGTACGGAGGAAACATGGGATCTACCTGGTCTAAAAGCTCCCATACAAAGAGACATTGCAGACCATTGCAATCAGACTTCCAACGTTTAACATGCGGAATATTTAGTCGATCATGAGCAGGCTTTGTGGCCCATCAACAATAATTCTAGTCCGTCTCACATCAAAATCAATTACACAGTCATTATCACTTTTGGTGAACAGTTGAATCAGGGTATTCTTTCTGGGGGGGGGATTGCTTAGTAAGCGTTTTACGGCATTTGCAACACAATATAATGGCGACATAAGTGCCAAGATTATGGATGTTATCAGAGAGTCACGAACACAAAAAAGAAGGACGACAGATAAAGATGGTAGATGTTTGATAGGAAAGATGGAGTAAACCACAAGAGAGCACCCGACAATCGCCCAGTGTAACATGTAGAAGGTTTTGAAGTTCCGAAACAGGCCTTGTTGTCCATAAACAGTCATTCTTGTCTGGCTTTAATCGCAACCAACCCCAGTCATTATCGCTTTCAATGGACACCGGAAGGGAGGATAGCCTTGAAGATCTAATATTTCAACCCATCATGATCAACTTACTTTTGCGATCCAGCGGCCATCTGAGTTTTATCCATTCAGCCTGTCGATATGGCAAAGAATTTACAGGTTTTTATCAGATGTATTTTGTCGCTGTATTTCCGATTTATCAAGAGAGGTAGGTAGGTAGGTACTAAGCAGGTCGCCAAGTGCAGGGAGGGCATAGAGATAGTGTGACACTGTATCATCCTGGCAGTCACACAACGGGCAGTCAGGTTGGGTTTAACCCATCAACCTCAACAGTAGTACTTGTACGAGACAGAATATTCAAATATTATGCTAAATTAATTAAAAATCAAATAAATGAAACACACCAAAAGATGAAATCACAGATCCAATAATACTTTATTGTTTGTGAAAAAAAAGAACTCAGATCTTTACTTCGCCGAGTTCTGTGACACTCTAATAGTATAGGGTGGGTCAGTATGGATTTATTTCCTTTTTAAATCACTGTAAATGCTCAGAAGGGACATGACTATTTTTTATTCTCCCCGATAATATGGAATAGCACAACTGCGATTTAGTTGTAGATTTGTACATTCTCTCTAACTTAATAATGACATTTAAAAATTCTTTGGGACTTTTCTAAATTACAACTTTGACACAATATACATTTTCATACATATTATGAGTATGTTACCTATTCAACATCCCCCGCCCACCCCTAATCATTTCCTCAACTGCCAAAATGAAACAATAATAAATTTCATCAGTCCTGATTTCTTAATCGCCTAAACCATTTCAGTGGAACATTTTGTCAAAAAATACCTGTGTTTTAAAAAGTTTTTTTTCTTCTTTTAGGCTAAGAGGGTTCATAGTTCCAAGAAATCATTTTAAATGGAAGAACTAATATAAATGACTAGATCTATGTTAGCTTTTTTTAATTTAAAGAAAAAGAACAATATTATTATCCCCCTCTCCCCTCTCAAAACAAACTTTCTAAAACCTCCCCAAGCTAAAACAAATATCCTTTTAAAAAAGGCAAAAAAATAAATAAATCACAAGACAAAAAGTCATTCTGTCAATAACACTGACACACCATTGGCTTCTTCCCATGAGGAACAAGTGTGTGTCACTGTAGTGAAATCAAGTACTCATCAACATAATCAAACCAAAGAAATCGACATTTTGCTGAACATTGGCCAATTTTTCTGGGGCTTTATTTTTTTAGCTTAACACCTCTTATGTCAATTTAAAAACACATGCCTTTGTGGATTTTATTGAAAAACTATTAATCAAACGGATTGAAAATTTGCAGATTCCAAGGACACTTGAGTTTTGGAAGTCACCACACTTAGGCAATCATTTTCTCACTCATTTAATCTCTGACACCAGGTGACCCCCACCTCCTTGAATCACAAATATCTCGAATTCTGTTCAAGATAAGTGGGGTTTCTTTTTAATCAAAAACAAAATGACTGAACAAGCTTTATGATTATACTAATAACGCCCTGTGCCCAAAAACTAACCAACGCCTAATTCAACCAAATTATGACACAAAAGACAAATAATGTCACCATAATTACTCCAATATTTTGAACCCCATTCCAAACCCTATGGTTAAAAAAAAGAAATTGCCCTCCCCCCCAAAAATACATGAATTAATATAACATCTGAATATGGAAGAAAATATCAAATATATAACTGGATGTTAAAACACATGCACCAGCATTCGATGACTAAAGGTGATAGAGACAGTGATGCTGAGAGGCAAACATGAAACAGACACCAGTAAAAACGACTGCTGATTACAATGAAGGCAAAGAATGAGACACTGCAGAGTACCAGTCTATCAGCCAGAACTCTTCTGTTTAAATATCATCATCATTAGCATAAACCTCATGGCTATCATAAAAAAAAAGAAAATAACAACAAACAATTTCCGCAATCTTCCTATTCGTTTTCCTGACCAATCTATCAAAAACTGCGATATAAAAACATCTTATTCATATCTTACCAAAATTCGGCACCAAGTCATGACATGTTACAACACCCTCCTCCCCCTAAAAAATGTTTAAAATGAACCTTTTCTATTTCTGAATTGATGCTAATCACCACACAAACTAAAGAAAAGTGGTAACATCATTACAATTACATTACAAATTACATTAAACCTTCTTTTGTTGGACGGCTTGTTCAACATGTGGACGGAATTTGCAAACATTTAAATAACAAGCATCTGAAGAAAACAATTCATTCACGAACTTTACAGAATAATTATTACAACCTGGCAAGAAAAAAATGATACTTTTGCACCCACCGTAGGGAAAATGCAAGCAGCTCAACTATCACTGAAACTACTGTAAAAACACAAAAAGGGGGGGACAAATAGACTGGAGGAATGTAAACAAATAACACCTTCATGAACATGTCAAACTTGAAAATACACAATCTTAAAGTACAGGTTTCTTTATAAACAGATCTAGATACAAATTCGTTCTTTAGTTCATTGTTTTAAGTAGAGGTTTTACGGCGCTCGCAACTGCATAAGGTCATATGAGCGCCAGAAGATTAGAGGTGTTACAAGAGAGTAACAAACATTAAAAAAATGAAGGGGAGATAAGGACGATAGATGTTTGATAGGAAAGAAGAAGCAAACCACACCAGAGCACCCGCCAACCACCAACGAACTTTGTTCTTATCCATTTTTTAAAAATGTATTTCGTAAGAAACTGAAAAGGTTAACGCATACAGTTTTCTTGCAAAGACAGAAATAAAATGAAGAGGACATAATGCAAACAAGTTAGCAAACATTTTCTGTTGACAAAACCCACAGGAACGGAGTCAAAGCAGACGTTTACAACTTTCAGGCCATAGGTGGTTGGCACTGAGAAAGGGAGAATGGGAGAAAGGGAGAATGGGAGAAAGGCTCAACAAGGCATAAGCTTCCAAATTGCTGTTTAGTTCAAGTGAATAACAAAGTGTAAATTTATCAACACTGCAATCATAGACTTTTTGAAACTTCAGTCGTCAAAACAGCTTTAATGCTTTATATTCATTGTCATTGATTGTCACGTGAAAAATAAAATCAATACTTCGGGAAATCAGTAATTTTCCAGCAATAAGAAGTATTTGATCATTTCAAAGAGGTACCCACAAAAGATCAGTACATGATTTGCTAATAAAAGTAATTTGGTGCTACCAAACCGAGCTAAATAAAACCAAAAACCGAAAACTTTTGAACAAAGAGTAACTGTACATGCTTTACAGTTACCTGCCTTGTAGATATTTAGCACACAACACAAAGAGCACAGCATCTCAGGGTAGAAAAAAATACAGAGCACGAAGTCACACAACCACCACCATTGTTACAGTCAGTGAATGCCATTGATAAAACACAGTACATTATTGCTCCTGGAATGTTGATGATTAAATACCTCCACACAAGTGGAGTAATGGACATTAGAGAAAAGGAAAATTTGCAGAGAAAATATCTTGATTCCATAGAAATAGTGCAGCAAGTGGTTCTTTTGGCTCATCAACATGAACAAATAAATTTTCAAAACATAAAAATAGATTCGAAAAAACATTGCCAGCGAGCTGTTCAAACGTACTTCGCCCTGAACTTTTTTTTTTTCATTACAATTTCTTAACCTGTGATATTGGCTGCACCTGATCAAGGAATATTTGGTAAAAATTAAAATTCTAAATGTTAAAAAAGTCAAGGAAAAATTATTTAACCCACTGCATCTGAGCTACAAGTGTATTCATAGCTGCCATGCGCTTCCGTCCACTGAGCTACGACAATAGTCGTAGCAAAATACCAGTCCACAAAATCGAGTCCGAACCACTTATCCAGGTTTCTATTGAAAATAATAGGTTGCTTGTAGCTTGTAAAAACTTTTGCTTGCTTATCTTCATTCAGTTTTTCGCCAAGTACGAGTTGGCTTTGTTGTTTTGTCACTGAAAATCATGGCAAGAAAGCGAGCACTGAAATCTCCATGGACAAGATGAAGAAAAAAACAGCCACAAAAAACAACAGTGAAACGGCTATTTTTGTGTTTATAAAATACATGAATCATGTTTTTAATTTTGTTTTAGGCATAAGCGGCAAATAAAGTGAAAGTAGACGTAAATTTTTAAAAAACCCAAGGTGATCGGATCCATTTTAGTGCCTTGAAAACTTCGAAGAAAAGCTAGATCTAGATATAGATTTACTATAAGTTGTTCTGGCTAAATCGAGTGCCGATGAGTCGCAATCTGATGAAGAACATATTGTTTTCTCTGCTCTATCCTTCATCTTTCCCTCTAATAATATTAAAAGAACATTTTAAGTCATATCTAAGCAAAATAGATACATTAAATAGTTTGGCTCAATGCATGTCTAATGTTAGTGGGTCAAGTTCAGACCTAATTTCCCCCAGGCTTGCGACAAGTCAAGTGGACACAAGTGCACAGCCGCAACAATGTAGGGTGAATTGGGTTAAGTAACTGCAATTTTTCTCACTCCTGAAAAGTTTTGCTTTCTAGGCTTAGGAACATTTCAGCAGTTTGCTGACGCTATGAGTAATAACTTTACAAAAGGCTTTTGAACATCAAAATAATATCACAATTTTATATGCCTCTGGGCATTTTGATCAACAAATCTGCTCTTTCATCCATTTTCTGCAAAAGTAGACTGATCAAAGGGTGGACAAAATCCTCCTGAAAAGAGACAAAAGGCAAACATTTCATAATAAGCTCTCGTTCATTCCTTTGCCAAAAAAAGCAATAAATGCTGTAAAAAATATACATGGATACACACACATGAATAGTCATTGAATGGACATACAAAACAACTATGTTACCTTTACAGAACATGTTTTTTAAAACACTAGAATAGATAGCAGTGCAGATAAGTTGGCTCTTGGGGAACAAAATCAGTATTGGTGCTGCCATGAATATCTGTGTCATGACAAGGTGGAATCAGGTGCTCATCAATTTTTGGGTATATGGAGTTATTGGCATCTGCTTAAAACTTCGGTATTTATCTTGCTTTTGGTGAACCCCCCCCCCGTCTATCATGAATAAAAGTTCAGATATCTGCAATTGAAAGAGGTGGGGGTTGCCTGGCGTCAGACGTCAAATTAGCGAGAAAATGGCCACCAAAGTTTGGTGATTTCCAAAGTGTACTGGTTTTATAATACTATTCGGTTATTTAAGAAGCAAGCTTTCCAAATTTAACATCCTACGCTCATAGGACTGAGCCAAATAAGTAGAGAGCTTTGAAAACTGCACAAAATGACCTGAGTTTTAGAATGCCCGGTCTGGGATTCGAACCACAACCACCAGCTCCTTAGTCCAGCATGATATCAACTAAGCTATATGAGAGCCCTGGGTACAAGGGCGGAAAGAGACAAAACAAAGCTCTATAAAGAAACAAGCAGCACTGACTCTGTTCAGTCACAGAGATAAAGAACAGCTCATCAACAGGCATGCAAAGTGTGAAGTGTGGTTTCTCTACTTACCCGTCACGGCTTATAATACTTATATCCCTGCATACATTAAGTTATACATGGATATAATATTTGTGTCATTTTGTAAGTGTATTGTGTACATGAATGCCCTTATGCACGAGTGCTGCTTGTATTTTAACGCATTTGAGGGGTACTAAAATTTCTTGTACAATGCATATAGCAATGTAAATCATGGAAAAGCTCAATAAAAGTGCCATGTACTGTTATTATTACTATCATCCACAGAGTCAGGACAAAGTTTTGCAGAGAGAACGTTACTGGCTACTGAAGGAAGGCACCGTTCCAATAACGCTAAAAACAATACTTAACAAAATACAAATCACACAGCATTTTCAGATCCAACATCTTATAGGCATACACCAATATTTTGTAAGATTTGACTTACAGTCGAACTTGCTCTAACAGCCACCTGTTTAAGACAATCACCTGTACAAACGACTACTTTCCACTTCACCCATTGCATGTTTCTTTCTCCTCATAATGACATCCTATAACAATGCTGTACAAGACGTCCACATGTCTTAGATATCCACTTTTCTCCTCCAAGACGGAGGGCCATATTGGACCATTTTGACTGTACTAACATCCAAAACTTCATGCTATGATCATTGTCGAAAAAACTCTCCTTACCTTGCTATTCATCAGTTTTTCACACTTGCGTAACCATCTCTTGTCCGACTTCCTGTCATCCCCTCCTATGGAATCCTGAAAGTACATTTTTTTTTCCCATTATAATCAGGCCAAAGATCTCAAATTTAAAAAGCCGCCGGATCAGTAAATTTAAAGTAAATAAAGTAGTTAAAGTAGTTTAATAATAAATTCCATAAATTATAACAAAATACATTAAACTGAGAGGGGAGTTCTGGTGAAAGTTAAGATGAAACCTTTTAAGACTTTTCACCTGAAAGGGAATTTTTCTTGTGAGCTCTCATGAAAATTTGGTCTCCACATCACAAACTGTATCATACATACGAGTATATTCAATAAACTCAGTAGGTCATGACTCATCACCGTCATTCAACACAGAAGTATGTCAAAATTTCATAAAATTGAAAATCAAGCATATCATTACATTTGATAAGGCATATGGATTGGTCCCATTCCTCTTCTTTAAAAAATAACGGATTTTGAGGAATTAAACATTTTGAATTAACATAATATCACACCCGAAATAAAAACTGGGGTTTTTTTGGTCCTCCTAAACACTTGGCATATTGACATACAACAATGATGAAAGACAGCAATGAATTGAACCTCATACACTAAAATCCCCTCCCCCCCTCCCAGCCCCCACACATACACACTCACCTGGCTGTCCCTATCCCCATCCGCACTCATAATGTCCTCCAAGTCTGAGTGGCTAAGATTGAGGATGTCCCGCGCCTTGTCCTGAGCCCTCATCAAGGACATGTCCTCCTCCCTCTGACAGCGCTCCTGGCTGGCTTTTGCTTCTTTCATTTTGGTCCGGGCTCTATCTGTGCGGCTGATAAGTTCTGCACCGAGGATCTGACGAGAAATTAATTGCAAACTTTTGACTCATAATGCAAAGATACAGCTGAAATTGTCTAAGACTGCCACCTATTTTCAAAGAGAAAAATCATTGTCTTAAACAGGTGGAAGTTTTAGTAACTGTGATTATGTTGTTAAATAAAACACAAGGGAGGAAATGGGAAATGGCCCTTTCTACATGTGATCGTCTTATACAGGTGGCAGGTGAAGAGAAAAATGATTGTCTTAAACAGATAGATGTCTTATACTGTATCATTATGATATTTAAAAATAAACACAAGGGAGGAAATGGGAAGCGGCCATTTGTACAGATGATCGTCTTATACAGGTGGCCATTTGAATAGGAGCGACTCTATTTTCAGAAGGGGACAACCACCCAGGTTAACAGGATGGATGTTGGATTACTCCTGAAACACAAATTAAGCCATAGAAAGATATGGGAAATAAGTCCTAGTTAAGAACATTTAGAAAACTAGACATTAACTTTACGATCTAAGAGGAATTTGAGGTGCTGTGAAGGCAGAAGGCATTCTTGTCAACTTTTGAGATATGTCTGTATGCAATACTGCCTGCGAGTAGTTGAAAGGGATAACATAAAGACCAGTAGTTCTGTAAAGATCAACATTCAGTCCAGTAGTATTATAAGGGTTATCACAAAGTCCACCCCACCTTGACCATAGACTGGAACTGGGCCAGCCTGGTCTGTGCGATGGTCAGTTTGTCCTTGGCCGCGTCGATGGCCGCCTCCGACTGTGTGGCCAGCCCGTGCAGCTGTTGTTGGGCCGACACTTCCAGCTCCGACAGCGCAGACTCCAGGCCGGTGCGGCACGACGTTGCTTCTTTCAGCTGCTTCACCTGAATGACGGGTACCAAAAAAAACAACCCCAAAAGTCAAATATGTAAATTTAATCTATATATCTATATATCTATATATATCGCTACCTTAGATTCACGAAGTCCTATCTGCTCAGTACCTAGTTTTGAGAAATTTGAGTTTCACACATGTCAAGATTTTTTTAATGCAATTCGAAACAACTCCGAATAATCCCACAATTTTGATAGAGCAGATAGAACATTTGGTTTTTTACCTCATGGTATCAGTAACTCAAAATGGCCCAAAGTGTTAGATATAACTTTGCAATAGTGATGTGTCACGACATGGTAGAATCAGAGCGCTAGTTAATACCTGGGGCTGATGATGCAAGCAAATTTTTAAAAGTAAAAAACAAGGAGGAAATTAGCAATATCAACTGGAGGAACACTGGACTGGGAAAGGAAGTGCTACTGTAAAAAAAAAAACACACACAAAAAAAAGCCTAAAATAGTTCTCAAAAGATACAGCTTAAGGTGGTTAAAGCCACATAACTTCTGAAAACCCATCTATAAAATATCAGGTCTTCACCTTGTGATCCAAGTCTAGCGAGACTTTGATGAATTTGTCTTCGTATTCTTTCTTCTCCTTCATCACCAGATTGATTCTTTTCCTGAGGGATTCCACCTGGAAAGACGCACAAAGGGAAAAGTTACAAATGAGCCAAGAGTCAAATAACACTGAGTCCTTTGAGAGTTCTTCCTGTCACCCCAAGGTTACCTTACGGTGATTTATTAGTGATTTATCAATGATTTATTAACAATTTATCAATGACATATGAGCCATTTATTATTGACGTAATAGTGATTTATTAACAACTTATCAGTGATTTACTAGCCATTTATTATTGATTTATCAGTGATTTATTATTGGTTTATCATTGACTTAGTGATTTATCAGAAGTTTTTCAGTGATTTACCAGTGAACACAACTAATCTGAAAACAGCAGCAATCCAAAATCAAATCAAATCTGGGAAGTCTTTAATTCTATTTGAGCAACATATTTTAACCAAAATGTCTGGCAGTCCCCCAGATCTCAGTTTATGCGGACTCCGCTGTAGTTGAAAGAGTACAGATGTGATGGCAAAGATAACAGTACTACTACTGTTAAACTTATCCAGGACGGCGATCCATTGTCGTGGTAAAATAGTGGTCACTTAGACAGGTAGACATCTTGGACAATGTCACAATTTCTTTTAATTCGCAAGTTTTTTTTGGGGGGGAGGGGGCGTGTCTTTTGTACAGGGGTACAGGTGGTTGTCTTGGACAGGCAGCCATTGGAGCAGGTTCGACAGTAGAATCCCTGATTTTTTTCTTGTATTTGAGCAACTTCTCTAATCCGAAATCCTGATTTAACTGTGGAGAAAATTCGGCGGTACTGCAGAATTCAGTTCAAGCACACCCCATTGTAAAACGACAAAAGTCCCTACCTGCACTTTCAACTTGTTATTTCCGTCTGCAAACATCTTTATCTTTGTTTGTAACTCCTCCTGAAAAAAGAGTTACATGAGAATGACAATGATTTAAAATATAGGAGGATGGTAATGATTCAAAATATGCAATGATATATACAGAGTTCTCTAGAGAGGTCTAACTCAAATTTATCTCTTAATCTAAAGTATGCAGTTTCAGTAATATAATTTTCTTTATTAATCATAAATTATGAGGGAAATAACGAAACAAAACAAAACTATATTGAACGATGCTCATTGATACCTTTATTTGATAACGGCTTTATATAGAAACCTCAAGAAAGCGAATGAGAGAGAGAGAGAAAGAGGAACAGAGAGAGGCACAGAGTGAGAGACAAAGAGAGAGAGAGAGAGAAAAAGAGAGAGAGAGAGAGAGAGAGGGAGAGAGAGAGAGAGGGAGAGAGAGAGAGAGAGAGAGAGAGAGAGAGAGGGAGAGAGAGAGAGAGAGAGAGAGAGAGAGAGAGAGAGAGAGAGAGAAATACAAAAGTAAAAAATTAACCTAAAAATGTCTGAAGAAAAGGAATAACGTGGAGAGTAACATAAAACCACATTATTTACCACATTGTTTGCGTCTGTCTTGTTCACATCTTGGGCATGCTTCAGTTTGATTCGTTGACTCTCCAGCAAGTTGCGTTTTTGGTTCACATCTCTCTCCAGATGGTTGATTCTGGAAAAGAACATTTGAAATATCATGGATATGATAATAAAAAGAACAGTACGGATGAAATAATAGATAGCATATCTGTGCTCCACAGCATGCTCTATGCGCTTTACAACTATCAATACTAAGCAGACTTTAGAACACTTAGAAACATCCTCCACATACAGGGACGCATACAGATACGTACGTCATTTGTGATTTGTCCCCTTGTCATGGAAGTCTCTTCTGTAAAATGTGTGTTTATGTGATGTTGGCGAGTAGCCTTGAACACTGAATAAACACTAACACCTACTTTGACATTCTGGAAAAGAGCATCTCCCAAAAAAGGTTTACCGCAACTCACTGACTCTTTCTTCTACATCTCCTGACTCCTTCGTACTGCTATCTTTCAACCACGCCCCCTCCTGATCTTAGGGTACATAAGATCAAACACCTTTCCCTCTCTGATAAGGGCAAAAAATCTTGGAAGTCTCACGTGCAAGTTTTCAACATTACAGACCTCTTGATGTTCTCAAATCAATAAGAGTAGACTTCGGCCACCACATGCGCAAAATTCAAAAACTTCTAAATTCTAAACAGAAAATATCCCAGTCCATATAAAAACATATAGAGTACCTTTGAAATAGGAATGTGGTTGCCTGAAGGCAATGGGGCCCTTTGAAGTAGGAAAAACATTGATAGCTGTTTAGAAGAACAACTCCTTTATACGTATCTGTGTTTATTCCAATGGCCACTGAAAGCAGTCACTCGTCATTTTGGGGAGAAGCTTCAGCCTCTGGGAGTGGCTGCGCGGATTTAATGAGTTAAAAAGTATGTATGAGCAGTTCAGACCTACCCTGGCACCCATAAATTGAAACAAGTGCTATGAAACATTTAAATTGAAGCTCAAAGAGAGTATCCCGCTTGTTGATCAGTCTGAGACGGCCGCACAAGATAGCATTGCACTCAGAATCCCATTAGCAACACGCAGCAGTGATCGAGAACAGTTTAACTTTTTTAAGGACATAAGAGGTATGGTGTCCAAAAAATTAAATCCAATTTTTTCAAAAGTACATAACAGGTGTAAAAAAATGTTCAGGCCAAAGAACTAGAACTCAAATGGCCGCTGGATTGGAAAAGTGTAAAAATGTGGATTTCTTTGATTTCATTATTTTGCCGAGGGCTCGATTCCTCCACACTGCGACACACTTGTATTTTGTACCTGTCTTGCAAACTCCTCACTTGCTCCTGCAAGCTGTCGTTCTCTGTCTTTGCACTCCTCAGAGAAGCAGACTGTCTAGACACCTCACTGGTCGCCACCTGACCAAAACAAAACACAAGCATTTTATTTCTGGCTAAAGGTCTGTGATAAATTCCTGCCTGTGGTAGAAAGATGCATCTGAGGTGATATGTGTATTATTATCACCTATATTTTTCTCGTCAAATTGAATTTTTATTTAATTAATATAAACAAATTCTCTGTATATCTATGTGTGTTTCTACTATTCCTGTACAGCCAAGAAAAAATTTCCCACTGGGACAATTAAGTACCATCTTATCTTACCTTATCTATATTTTTCATCTCAGAAAAACTTCTCAGGACATGTACGTCAAATTATTCACAGCATATTGAGGCAACATACAGTACAACAAGGCTATAGCGGGACTTTTTGTTCCAGAAGACAAATCCCGCTGTTGGCAAGTTCCAGCTATAGGAAAGCAAAGGGGAATTACCGAAAAATTTCTTTAAATCTACATGATTTCCTCCCTTCCATATATATAAAATTTGTGCAAAAAATTTTACTTTTTGGCCTAGCCTAGGACTAGAGCTAGGCCTATCGTCTCCTCAAAACTATTTTATCCTAAGTGTATTTAAGTAGCCTAAAGAGGCACTTTGGACAAAATAGTTCCTGTGCAAACGCTACGGCACATCCCTTTTGGATGGCACACATAACGCGTCTCTCCGCACTATCTCTCTCTGCCGCCGGCCCCAACTCACTCATCACTGGACTGGGCAATCACAACGCCGCACCCCTGACTGCCTGATTGGAGCCCGCCTACAGCACACCCAACACAGCTACTAGACCTCGTTCAATCTCCCGCTGTATCGAAGTTTGGGATTTTCCTGGCCCTATTATATCAAAGCACAGGTAATTGAGTTTACATAGACAAAAAAGTGGATTCCGGTAAGGTCCCCGCTGTAGGGATGGTCCCGCTGCAGCGGATGCTGCTATAGTCATGTTCTACTGTACTGCAATGTTATCTCTAATCTGTTTGTTTTCTTTTTTAAATTTAATATAGGCATTTTCATGACTCATCGACACAATTTGGGTCGTTTAGAGGCAGGCTTTGACCCTGCCTGTTAAGGCCAACCAGGGTTGAGAAGGATATAACATTGCGGATGGAAAACCGAAATACTCTGTAAAAAGTCTCCCTGCTCAGGAATTGGACTCGGGTCTCCTGCGTGCGATGGCGAAGCGCCTAACCACTACATCACAAAAGCCAGTTCTCTAATCAGTGAAACGCCCATAAATGGAACAAACATTACGAATAAAACAGGAAGATGGAGGTCTATCCAACAGGCCAGCTAATGCAATCTGAGATTTCTAAAAATAAAAGACTGTATTACAGTTGAGTTAAATCCAGAAATGTATTCACAATACATGCAGACAACATGGAATGAAATAGGCTCATAAACAAAATTGCATAGAGCATGTGTAACAAAGTCTGTTGGATTGAGGATCCACCCCAGAAAGTCAAAGGTCCTAAGGATAGATGCACAATGAAAGGAGCAAGTTACAACAGATGGAAATGCACTTAAAGACATCGAATCCTTTTGCTATCTTGGGAGTATAATTGACAAAGAGGGAGGAACAGGTGCTGAAATAAAGTCACGCAACGGAAAGGCAAGGCTGCTTTCAAATCTTTGAACAGGATTTGGAGGACCAGGGATATCTCACTTTGAAAGAAGCTGAGGATTTTCAACTCAAATGAGAAGTCAGTCTTGTTGTATGGGTGTGAGATATGGAATGCATCTCAAACTTGAATAAAGAGGATCCAGGTTTTCATGAACAAGTGACTGAAGAAGTTACTGAGGATCAGATGAACAGACAGGGTCACCATGGAGGAAGTGTTAAGGAGAAGAAGACAGAGCCAAGTCAGAGATAGGTGGAAAGATGGCGGTGGCGATGAATTGGACATACTCTCTTGAAGTCAGGTAGCTGCATAACAAGGAAAGTATTAGATTGGATCCCTCAAGGTAAAAGATCATGGGGAAGACAACGTGGAACCTGGAGAAGTGTCACAGAAATCCATGTCCAGGAAAGTGGGAATAGGGAATAACATCAAGCGGCTAGCCCAGGATAGGGAAAGGAGGAAAGTGTTTGTTCGTTGCCTATACCCTGACCCAAGGTGAGAAAAGCAGTGACGATGATGAGTAACAAAGTTTTCCCTGCAAAGGCAGATGCTAATTTTAAAATACCGTAATAAAGAACAGAAACGAAAAGTTAACAAAGGATCTTTCGTGTACATTTTAACAATTTAAAAATTGCCACAAATTAAACATGCGGTTGCATCTACTCTAACGACCACCTGTATAAACTATAAGTTCCCACTTTTCTGCTTGTGTTTTTCCTGACATTATAATGACATTGTCCAAGACAATCACTGATGGCTGTCTGGGACAATTTCTACTGTACCTTCAACTTGGCTTCCAGAACTTTCATTTCTGGGAAGTCTGCTCCTGTTTCCAATCTCCCATCGTGTTTGTTCCGAGCACCTGTCTCCAAATCTTGCTTTTCCTTCTGAAGCTTTTCCAAATCAAGTTGAAGTTTCTGAAAAATGAAAACAATAAACAACCGGGGGTTTTTTTTTTTTAATGCAAGTGTTTTTTAATGCCCCCATTGAAACGATTCAGATCATTTAGGAGGTGGGTTTCTGACCCTGCATATCAGGGCCAACCCAGGATGAGTGGGGTGCAACATCCGAGCAGAAAGAGCAAGATGCTTGATATAAATTTTCTCCCCATTTGGGAATTTAGAGAAGCTCACAAGCTGTGAAAAACCACAAATGGAAATGAAGCTTCTGAAAGCTCAAAATGTGGCAAGCTCTTCGCAGTCAGACTTGGTCTGATTGGCCATAGTAGAAGATACAAATCATCTCAACCCTTATTTCTTTCTTTTCTTTTCAGAAATTTTCTCCACTGCAGATGCACTGTTCATACATTGACAGACACATAATATTGTCATCATTATCATCATTTTTATTATTATTATTATTATTATTATTATTATTATTACTATTATTAGCCTATTTTCATTAAAATTGTTACTACTATTATTGTTGTTGTGAATATCATTATTGTTATTGTGCTATTTTCATTTTTATTGTTTTATTATTGTTGTTATTATTATTATTGCGGTGTCGGTGGCCTAGTGGTTAGGCTCTCGGACTCGCAACCGTAAGGTCGTGGGTTCGAATCCCGTCAGGGGCCCGACGTTGTGTCCTTGGGAAAGGCACTTTACACGAATTTTCTTCACTTCACCCAGGTGGGAATGGGTACCCGGCTATAGACAGCGAAAGATCTTGTCAGTTTGTTAGTGTTTGAGCGCTTAATCGGCTGCTTGCACTGTATGCTTCTCGGGAAGCTGAGAATGTTTCGGAGTGTTCTATGGTCTGCTGGGGTAATAATATAGTGTAAAGCGCATAGAGCCTGCTGTTGAGCGGGGATATGCGCTATACAAATGCTATCTATTATTATTATTATTATTATTATCATCAATATCAATATTATCAATCATTATTTCAAGGAGTAATTTCCCAAAAGGCACTGTGCAGTTACCTGAGCATGCTGTTTGGAGACCTTGAGACGCGTGGAGACAGAGGTCAGCTCTCCCTGGGCTTTGGTCAAGCTCTCCTTCAGCATCTCCTCACTGTGGACCGCCAGCATCTTCGCCTTTTTCAGGATGGAGACCTGCTGCTGGAGATGCGACACCCTCTGGCGTAGACTGGCCAGTTGCCTGCTGTCGGCCGTGGTGCGTCGGAGAGGTCTTGCTGTAGTCGTGTTTGTGCGTAACGGTTCGGCCCGCGCGGTGGTGGTGGTGCTGGTCGCGGACGTCTGAAATGTGGCTGGTGGTTGTGCTCGCGGTGAACAGGAGGACGAAGCGCTCAGAAATGCGATGGGAGATGTGGCAAACTCTCGGAGCTGGACTGAAAGGGTTACAATAAATGAGTCACATCAACTGACATTAATCAAAGAAATTAGAATAATAATGTCCACTGATTTCATCCACACTGCTTTTGATTTTGAAATTTGCTCCTATTTGATCGGTCATTCCTCATATATTCTTCAAGTTGCGGCAGAGGGTGACTACATTTTTATCAATAATATATTATTATAATAATAATTTTTATTATAATTATTATTATTATCATCATTATTATTTTTACTATTATTATTATTATCATTATTATCATTATTATTACCATGGTCATGTGTTGACCTGGCCCGAGGCGGAGACTGGCACTTTGCACTGGGACTCTCATCACTCTGGGCTTTCTTGCGGTTGGGCGGGCGGCTGGTTGGAACTCTCCGCGGCTAAACAGAAGGAAAAACACAAAAACATTAAGACAAAACACGGAACAGACAGAAAGAAAGTGTGATTCATTACACTTCATTTGAGATATAAATTGTTTTTGTTGGATGAATTGATATAAAATTATCCATTTCATTTGCTATTTCCAATACAGGTCTGAATTTCGACTGAAAATGCTCCTAAAAAGTTGGAAGTAAAGCCGAACAACCCGCCACCCCGAAGGTTGCTGCGAGATGGAACCTAAATATGTTTGTTGTTTCTGAAAAATTTACTCCGCTCAGGTTAGCCAGTTTTATCACAAGGGGGATGAACCGCACATTACCAAGCAAAACGACAGTTCTCTACTTGCCTTAATTATCTTCTTTCCATTTTTATCAACAGCAAATCTACTAATAGATTTACTAGGCTTGCCCTGGGAATGGGTGACTATGGTGTCTCCAAGACTGGTCGCCTCTGATTCAAATTCCCTGTGAAGTGAACAAAAAAAATACATATAACAATGAGTCACAGGGCATTTCCATTTCAACTTGAATCCTGTCATTTTATGCTGAAAATACTAACATTTACATATTTCAAACTGAACTTGCTGCCACAAAGCAGGGAATAGGTTTATAACTTGTACGAGTTAACTGAAAACTAACTCTAAAATATAATACAAGTCTGCCAAAGTATTACTACCTTGCAGCTGCTGAAGATGTATACACAAAAATCAAGACAACCACTGCCATGATAATTTTGATTATAAGTCTAGCAGACAAACAGTAAACAGTAAAAAGCAATATATTTTCAAACAGTCAATACGTACTCATCTGAAGAATTCGGCACCTCTTCCCAACCTTCTTCGGTGAAAAGCGACGCTATCTTCTCCATGCCTTTGTTCAAGGCAGACTGGTACTGTAAGGGAAAAATTATAAATATTCACTTTTAAAAGACCCCTTCAGGCATCAAAACAGTACTATCAAGTGAAAAGAGGTAAGGATATGAAGTAAAATACAAACACCAATCTAATCCAAGCTCATCCTCTCTAATGTAAATTTTTACAGAATACATTCAGTTACCTAAAAACAACAATTAACTTCAGTTTGAGGTCCAACAATCAGTTAAATCATTTAGCTCATGAATTAGGCTTGGGGGGGGGGGGTGGACTCAATGGTACAGGACAAATTATGGGTGAAAAGAAGTAGATTATGGTAAAACAATTCAAAACCAGATCACCAACGCTCATCTATGGCCTAGATAAGAATGACAGAATTGTTCATTTTATTCGCTTTGAAGAGACATTCACAGGCTTGTTAACTTTCACACAACCCAATCAGGGACACTTAATGATAGAACATGAGATTACCTTAAAAGGAACAAAATGACATTAAGTGGGACTGGTTTTGGTGTAGCGTAAGTGACAGGCTCTCAAATTTTTTATCGCCGAATCAAAGACAGTCTCGGGAAGTTCGAAACAGTCGGCAAGCCTGAATCATATGTGGCGTCAGTATTGTATTATCATTATTATTATTAACCTTTTTCTCCAAAGATCCCCGCCTCCTTTTTTTCTTGACCCTGTCTCTGTCCATCAGTCTGGAGGCCACAGCGTTGACCACCTCCGAGTTGCTCTGCCCTGACTCCAGTTGCGCCCCCTCCTCCTCCTCCTCCGCAGACATTGTGGCCACAGGCGACCTTTGCTTCATTTCCTCCATCTCATGCCGAGCGCTGAGGAGAAATCAACAACCACTTATGAACAATTGTGTGACATCATAACAAAACCAAGTGCTCGTCAAGATAATGAAATTGAAGAAACTTGGACATTTTTCCACCTGTTGGGCAATTTTTATCTATAATCCATATACTTTTTCTTGTTTCAGCATCTTTAATGTCTACTAAAAGCACATTTCTGGGTAGACTTTATTGAAAAAGGTGATCAAAGATACAAGAAATGTAAATTTGCAGTTTCCAAGGACACTCAAGCTTTGCAAGTCCCCAAACTTTGGTGGCCATTTCCTTGCCAATTTTACTTCTGACACAAAGTGAATCCCACCTCCTTCAAACTCAAATATATTCACCACCACCTCCTTCAAACTCAAATATATTGACATCTATTCAAGATGATTTTCAACTGTTTAAGAATACATTTACCAGTGATCACTCTTCTACCTTCTCCACAAAATCTCTGTAAAATAGTTGTTTGAACAGTTTTATGGCTTATATTTACAAGTGAGTTGAATTTTTCTCAGCAAGTTGATGTCTCCACATGACCATCTCTCTCTGTCTCTCTCCACCCCCCCCCCCCCCCACCCCCTTTTCCTCTTTCCCAGTCCATCTGCAAATTTGTTCCTCCTGTTTATTCTTCCCCTCTGTGAACTCCACCCAATGACCTCCAGAAGCTTAACAGCCTTCACCTCTGCAGTCGGAGCTTCACATCAGCGCTACATTCTGAACAATGTTTTAATGGAACTCAATTTTTGTTTTTAAACATTGGTTTTTGCCTTTTATTGCCCTATATCTCATAAGGATGATAATGATTCAAAATAAATATGAGGACGATAATGCTTCAAAATAAACACATGAGGATGATAATGATTCAAAATAAACACATGAGGATGATAATGATTCAAAATAAACATGAGGACGATAATGATTCAAAATAAACACATGAGGATGATAATGATTCAAAATAAACACATGAGGATGATAATGATTCAAAATAAACATGAGGACGATAATGATTCAAAATAAACACATGAGGATGATAATGATTCAAAATAAACATGAGGACGATAATGATTCAAAATAAACACATGAGGATGATAATGATTCAAAAGACCTACATAGAGTTCTTTTGAGAGTTTTGAAAATAAATAATCTCTAAAGCTCAACGACTTCACCTCTGCAGTTGGTGCTTGACATCAGCCAACTCCATCCTGTGCTGCGACGCCTCTTGCTGCGTGGCCACCAGCTGGGACATCAGTTTGCTACAAAAAGAAGAAAACGGAGAAGACGAGAGATAGACAATGAAACATCTCTTCGAGCTGGACTGAGTTAGCTATTCATGTAGCTGAGACATCGGTTTGCTACACACAGAAGAAAACGGAAAAGAGAGACAATGAAACTTCTCTGTGAGCAGGTCTGAGTCAGCTAGTCATATAATGTAGTAGGAATATACAATCAAATCTACTCTAACAACCATCTATCCAAGACAATCACTTGTGCAAAGGGCCTACTTTCCACTCTCCCCCTTTCCGCTTTTTTCTGTATTATAATGACACTATCTAAGACACCCACCTTTCTAAAACTGCTTTTCTCCTCGCCGCTGGGTGGCCGTCTTGGACAATTGTAGAATAACCACAGCTCTCATAATTTCAATAACCAAATCATAGCAAACCTGAGAATTTTATTTCAAGAAAAATTTGCACTTGGTATTGTCACACAATTTCCCTAAAGAGACAGGTCAAAAATTGTTGGGTTCTTTTTTCTTCACCATTTTAATAGTTGTTCATTATTTTAAAAAAGCTGTTTGAAAAGCCATACATGTAGTTTTAACAAAATGGTGGTTTTTACCTCTTTTCCTGTACTAAATCCTCTCTCTGGGATATGACACTGTCCATGTCTCTCTCCAGTTTTTCTATGTGAACAGTTTTGTTGTGAACCTGAAAACAGAAATTATAATAATATATTGTATTTATATAGCGTTCAACCCTGATTAAAGTACACAGGCTGAGAGAGGTTTACAATACAATAGTAACATATAAACAGTACATTGTGTTCTGATTTTTTTTAAATTTAATTTAAAAATTTATAAAAACAATTTTTACAACATTCAAGTCCTCTGCCAAAGGCTTCAATTGAAAAAAAAAATTCCACTGAAAAATCCTGTTTCCTCTCTACAAATGAATCTAATTTCTGAATGTTTTGCCATGAGACCATATTGCTAAAAGAAAAGAAGGCTAATGATGAAAGCTCCGAATTTAAACCCAACACAAGAGATATGGAGACAATAACAGTGACCATACATTCTTTCCAAAGATCTGAAATACATAAAGACAAATGAAAACCAGGTGAGCGCTATATTTATTTCTTTGGAATACTCACATTTCTATCTCTGACATCTATCGCTCTCTTGGCTTAGCACTCTGCCTTTGACAGGGCCTATCTACTGGGTGATAAACTTACAACAACGAAACACATAACCCTCTGTCAAGAGCGATTTTCTACTTTCCTTCTATCCTTTTGTCCTTCCTTTCTCCCCTATCTGTGGTTATGAACATATTTTTATGATACAGGTCTTATATTTTTCCTGCTGCCTCTCTTTCCTGTATGAAAGAATAATGGGTCTTCTGTGTTTCCCTTTCCTTTAATTATATCTTCCCTTCCTTCTCTCTTTTAAATAATAAATCAATAAATTAAATCTATACAGCCAATTTCCACTAAAAAAGCTTTCAATGCGTTTTACAATAGTACAAAACACATTGTTCCAAGAGTGGTTCTTTCACTCCCTCCCTCCCACTCGATCTCTCTTTCTCTTTATCTTCCCAATCCCTCTCTCTCTGCATATCTCTATCTCTCAACTTGTCTATTACCTGCCTGAATGCCTCTCCCTCTATAACTATTTCTCTGTATTCATCCCCTGTGTAGATCTCTCACCTGAGACTTAAGAACAGGCACCTGGTTCTCAGCATCCACCGCTCCTCTCTGTTCACGCCGGACTCGTCGCAGCTGGAACTCATACTCTGTGGAGAAAAAACTCACATCTCATACTTGGAAACTCATAGTTCAAGGAGAAAAACCTTACGTCCCATACAGAGCAACTCATACTTCATGGGGAAAACCTCACAGTTCATACAGGGTAACTCATACTTCGTGGAGAAAAACATTGTCTCACACAGGGTAACCTAAACTGTCTACTTAGTCCTCAGCTACGTGCATGATCTTCAATACTTTAAATAATATTCATCACATTACCAATCAAGAGACAAATTCATACAGCAGAAACCAAGAGCAGGGCCTCAGATCTGCAGCCTGCAGGACAATATTTTGCTGCTCCTACTTCGCTACTCTAGAAATGCAAAGTTCTATCTGCTCAGTACCTAGTCTTGAGAAAAAATTTGACTTTAAAAAATTTTAGTTTCACAATATGCCAAGCTTTTCCAAGTGCAACTCTTTGAATATCTTGAAAATGACTCCGAATAATCTCACGATTTTGATAAGAGCAGATAGAACATTTGGTACCTGACCTCATGGTCTTAGTAATTCAAAACGTTCAAAAAGGTACGACAGAACTTTGTAATTCTAAAGTATAGTGTTTCTGTGGCCCAAATGTGGCTGAGCTAAATACGATGAAGTACTTCCAGGTCTATGGCAACAACGGATAGGTAAGAGAAGCTTATGTTCAGAAAAACTGTCCATGTTCTGGACTGATAATGATAGAGATTGAGAAGATTAGATCAGTTGTATTTTTTAAAATAAACAATCAACAGCCTGAATGAGTAGTTGAACACAGCAGGAGAATAACAAAATAATTTCTATTTATTTTAAAATATTTGTTGTTCCTCTAAGATTAGTAAACAAATTTCGAGTATCAGTTTTGTAAATTTGTCATTCTTTAGTGACATGAAAGCATGAGAGAGAGAGCGATGATAATGAGCGAGAGTACTGACCGTCTCTCTGAGCCTCCACCGACACTCTGAGCTCGTGTATCTGAGCCGCGTCCTGGCTCGTCTGTACCCTCAGCAGGTCCACCTCTTCCTGGAGGCACATCCTAGAGGGACAACAACAACAACAAATGTAATGTAATAATAGTAAATAATTATAATAGATAGCATTTATATAGCGCAAATCCCCACTCAAAAGTAAGCTCTATGCGCTTCAAAATCTACACTATTACCCCAGCAGACCTGACAGCATTCTGAAATAAACTCAACTTCCTAGGAAGCATACAGTGCAAGCAGCCATTTATAAGCGCTAAAACACTAACATACTGACTACTGACAAGATCTTCCGCTGTCTATGGCCGGGTACCCATTTCCACTTGTATGAAGTGAGGAAAATTCGTGTAAAGTGCCTTTCCCAGGGACACAACGTCGAGCCCGCGGCTCGAACCCCCTAGCCCGCAACCTCACGATTACGAGTCCAGTAGCCTAAATCAAACTTTATTGATGCCCCCCCAGCTGCTCCCTGTCTATACACAAAGATGGTCAAGATTCTAGAATTATCTGCAATAAAGATATCACAATCAGAGACAAAAAAACTATCTTATTTGAAGCACACAGAAATTATAACGTTGTTTGTTGTTGTGGTTGTTATCGATTCAGCAACAGCTGGGCCCTCGCCCTTCTGTCCAATGCCATATAAGTACTTGTTTACTGCAGTTACTGTAATGTTCCACAGAATGTGTTGTCAATATCTTGGAATGATGACAAGTCCATTAAACGAGAACAAGATCTTCTTTTGAATTCTCTGCGTCTTATACGATGTCTTACAACATAAGGAGATAAAAAAGTGAACGATTTGGTAATTTTGGAGGGTAGTGCAGACCACCTGGGTAGTGACAGGTATCATTTCATGCCCATCTCAGAAATACAGGTAAGTGTAAGGTACCCAAAAGTGGGCGTTGGCTATAGAGCGTTGACAAACACTTGGTCTAGCCTTCATCTCAATGAAAACGGCAACAACTCACTTGTCTACATGGAGTGATCTGTTCTCAGTCTTGAAAAACGACAGCTCATTCCACACTTGGTCACTGTTCTCCTTCTGTAAGGATCTCGGGTCCGCCCGTTTAGGCTTAGGTTTTTTCCCCTTAGGTTTGCTGAAAAAGAGAGAATGTGAAAGAAAAAGAACACTAAATGATTCATTCAGAATTTCTTTTTTCACTATTAGGGTTTGGCAATAAATTCATAATAATAATCCTCCTGACTCATGTAGTGCTTCTCCTGGCTCCTTCTTACTGCTGTCTTCCAGCCACAACCCTAATCTTATGGAAGGTCAGATCAAATACCTATCCTTGTAAAAAGGCAAAAAATCTCGGAGGTCCCATGAGCAAGTAGCACACGTGAAAGATCCCTTAGTGGTCCTAAAGTCTATAAGAGTAAGCTTCACCCGCTGTCCGAGCAAAATTCAAAATGAATTCACACCAAAACAGAAAATACACTTGTCAGTATAAAAACATATAGAGCACCTTAAAAATTTGAACATGGCTGCCTGAAAGCAAGGGGGCCCTGCTATGTGTGGGTGCACGTACACACACATACACACACACACATACACACACACACACACACATACACACACACACACAAAGCAAAATAGAATAACAGAAAGACAGAAACATGAATGAGTGATATGCCTAGAGGCAAACAAAAAGCCTTAAAGGGACCCAAAAAAATTATCCTGATCCTACCGTCCTTCCAAGCCACCACACTACCTTTCAGACAGGCATACACAAAAGCACAAAAAGACAAAACTCCAATCTCTGCTACCACGCTACCACACTTACTTTCCAAATTCGTAAGTTTTGATCTCCTCCCGGGCCAGCCTGTAGCTCGCCTGGAGGTTCTGGAGCCGCTGTAGACGACTGTCGTGTGCTCGCTTCAGCTCCTCCACCTGGCTCGACTGTACGGCACAAACAGAGGTTCAGAACACAGAGGAGAAGAAAATGTGTCATGAGGCGGTGGAATCAGGCGCTTGTCAATTTTGAGGCATATGGAGTTATTGACATCTTCTTAAAGTTTGTTCATTTGTCTATCTTTCGATGAAAAAAACCCACCCACATTACTTGAACAAAATTCGAGAAATTTGCGATTGAAGGAGGTGGGTTGTTCCTGGTTTCAGAGGTAAAATAAGCGAGAAAATGGCCGCTAAAGCTTGGTGATTCTGATAGCTTGAGAGTCCTTGAATACAGAATATTTTATATTTTTTGCACCTTGAATCAATGTTTTTCAGAAAAACCCACACAGAAAAGAACTTTTAAACAGACATAAAAAGTGTTGAGCCAAGAAAAGAAAATTCTCAAAAAATTGACGAAGGCCCAGTTTCTTGGTTTTCATGAATTTGGTGAGCACCTGGTTTCACCATGATGCCTCACAAGTGTATAAAAGAACACAATATAGATCTATATGAAAATACAACTTTCATTTCCATTTTTTTTAAATGAATTAAATTGAAATACAAAGAAGGAGATAGTTTACTTTTAGTAAGAGTTGTACCATCATATATGTGCCGAAGATTAGGGTGTTACTTGAGAGTCACATACAAAGAAAAGAAGGAGGAAAGATAAAGGCCGTAGATGTTTGATGGGAAAGAAGGATCAAACCACACAAGAGCACCTGCCATCCACCCACAAAGAAAAGGAGCTGAAGAAATAATCCTATAAAATTGTCAACACTAGGAAGGTTAAGACACAGCTATTTTTTTTTTTTATTTCACAATTTTGGGCTTAGTACGTCGGAACAGCTGTCCGAGGTAAAACAAAACAAAGCAACAAACCTTCAGCTGTAATGCCTTCTCCAGCTCCTCTATTTTCCTGCTGTCTGAAAAAGTTCGCTCCCGGGTTGGGGGTGAGAGTGACCTTGACCTGTTGGCATCCACGGAAGGAGAAATAAGACCACCGGAATCCAGATTTCTTCCGAGGGACCTGCAGGACAACAGACATATATCATAGATAGATATATATCATAGATTGACATAATATATTATAGATAGACATAGATAGACATGCTACAAATGAGAGAGAGAGAGAGAGAGAGAGAGAGAGAGAGAGAGAGAGAGAGAGAGAGAATGAATGTTTTACGGAGCGGGTTGTCCCAGCCCGTGAGACATGTATTTACTTGGCCTAATGTCCTGTCTTGTTGTGCGTTTGTGTGAGTGCACCTTTAAGTCTAACTTTTGTAACGTCTACTGCCATTGTTAACGACCAAGACAAATTTCTCCCTGCGAGATGAATAAAGATTGTCATTGTCATTGTCATTCACAGATAGACATATATCATAGATACAATTATCATAGATACATATATCATAGATAGACTTTACTTTACTTTTCTTTTCCGATCCATAGATAGACACATCACTACCTTAGAATTACAGAGTTCTATCTGACATTTTGGGCCGTTTTGAGTTACTAATACCATGAGGTCAGAAACCAAATATTTAACCTGCTCTCTCAAAATCGTAAGATCGTTCGGGCTTGTTATCAAGATATTAAAAGAATTGCATTTAAAAACGCGAGACACATTGTGAATCTCAAAATTTTAAACATCAAATTATTCAAAATTACGTATAGAAGAAATAGAACTAGGTAGTTCTAGGGTATAAATTTATCAATGATTCTACAGAAATTGGCATGGTAAACAAAACTAACCTAGTCTTGTGCTGAGCCAGTGTAAAAGAATATTTTAATCTTGGTGTTTTTACACACCCTTAACACAATTTAGGAGGCGGGTTACCAAACCTGCCTGTCAGTGCCAACCTCAGCTGAGAGGGATACAATATTTCAGCAAAGGGACCAGGATACTGGGTAAAAATTTCTCCCTGCATGAGAATCAAACTCAAGGCCGGGACATAAATTCTGTACATAGGTAATGAGTAACTCAGTTATCTTACCTCCCTCGACCTTTTTGCTGGTTGGTCCTTGAGCTGTTGGTGGCACTCAGTGCATCGACTTCCTTTAGATCAGAAACATTCACCACAAAGAATGGTTATTTTACACATCGAAAATATGGGAAGAGAGCATAAATGCTTATCACGGACAAAACGACAATAAAAATAAAAGTAACATTAAGAGGAAAAAAAGCATGGATCACTACTATAATACAAAATCAAATTCCATTAAAGGTCGCAGCATCCGTTTCCGAGATTTTACAAGAGTAGTTTGGGTTTTTTTTAGTATTGGTACGAGTTTTACAGTACTTGCAACACAATACGGTCTTATACGAGCTGAACATTTGAGGTGTTGCAAGAAAGTAATGATAACAAAAAAGGAGGAGGAGAGATTAGGACGATAGAAGTTTGATAGGAAAGAAGGAGCAAACCACACTAGAGACCTGCTGACCACACACACACACACACACACAAAACGTCCTGCAGTAGCATCTTTATGGATAAGATTCAGGGAGGTGGCCCTTGCGAGGAGCACACTCCTCCAGGCTCCAAACAATACAGAAGGATAGGTCATCACATACACACAGGCACACACACACACACACACACACACACGCACACATACCCCACAACAACAACAACAACAATAAGAACAACAACAACAATGCTCTTCGGGGCTCCAAACATTTCGAACGGATAGGCTACCACGCATACACACACAACAACAAGTCACAAACATCACACACACTGCCTGCTCACCTGGACAATGTCCAGAAAGCTGCCCGTGTAGTCCTGGTGCCTGGAGCCCCGGCCGGGAGACAGAGACTGGTCAGTGACACGCCCGTTTTCTCCTGGCTCTTGTGTGTGGAGGGAGGATATGATGTCGTCTTTGTCCATCAAACTCTAAAGATGAAAGAAAGTGGAGATGAAAGCAGACGACAGAACACGTCTAAAGGACAGGAAAAGAGTTGAAAGAAGAAACTTTTAGAGAAGAAAAATGTTTCCATCGCTGTCAGGTTTCAAACGCAGGACCTACTGAATGAAAGGTGAACACTGTACCTCCAAACCCAGACATTCCCGCAGCATGCTATCATTTCCTTAGTTTTTCTCTCTTTACCAGGCTAGCTACATGTGGTACCTAGCATATTCTGTATCTTCTCATCCTTGGATGTTAGAGGCTCATAAGGAGAAGGGCTGAAAGAGGAAGACCTTTCTACATTCAAGCTACTTAGCACTATTTTTTCAGTACAAGTCAACGAAAGAGATTTAACATTCAGGACAAAACATAGGGTTAAAATTAATGATGAGTTACTAAGCTCACAGCGCTTCAAATGAGAGAGAGAGAGAGCGAGAGAGAGAGCGAGAGAGAGAGAGAGAGAGAGAGAGAGAGAAATAGGGGGAGGGGGAAGGATGTTTCAGCACATAATACATGTCCTTTCTTGCTGTGTGTATGCGAGAGTGCACCTGACCTTTACCTTTGTAAAACCACTGTCATTGTAAAGAAGGACCAAGAAAAATTTCGGCCTGCAAAATGAATAAAGATTAATACTGTCAGTGTCAAAGCATATTTTTTTATCTACTGACTTCCAGGTGTGACCTGTATTTTGCTCAGTTTGGCATTTTTTCCCGTTCAAGTGAAGCCTACTACAGAAATATGACTGTGGAAATCTTAACTACACAAAATATGCTATGCATAACATCTTTAACAGCAAGGCAAAATAAGAATTAATGATGCAAAAATGCTGAAAAAGAGCAAAGACATTTTTATAAAGTCTATTAAGAATGCAAGTTTCTAGGTGAGGAAAATCGGCAAGCAGAAGATAAATGGGAACATGCCTTGAGAACAGTCTCCTACACCTGGTGCACACTGCTAATCAGATTCAAACAAACCGATTCCAGGCCCGCCAGATTTTACTCCACAGAGGGGCAAAAGCTACCATTTTGGCACAATACAACCAGTTCGACTTGCTGCCTTGAAAAAAAAAAACTTATTTGATTTCGATGGTCACAGTTGAATTTGATCGAATTCATTCGAATTGTGACCAATTGACATTTTGTGCCCAATCTGGCTGGCTCCGACACAATCTAATGAATTTGATAGGCCTTGTTCACTCAGTACTAGCAAGGAAATCTTTGCCAAGCAGGGGTTGTCTACCTTCTTCAACTCCAGGACCTGCTGTCTCAGGTCAGCCTCCGTCCTCTTGGCAGCCTCGTATCTAGAGTTGACGTCGGTGAACATCTGTGACCAGTCAGAGATAAGATCATTAACTCTCTCACACGTAGCTGTCTCAAAATGAGCAATTTGTAGGTTACAGTTACTGAATATCATTTATTATAGTGACCCAAAGAGCATTATTTAATATAGGGCCCATATAAAGAAACTTTGTTTATTACTGGATCTTATAAAAATATTGGTTTGTCAGGACAATGGCCTACAGATGTGCCATGACAAGTTATGTGCTATTTGCAAAATAAAAATGAGCCAGATTTTTGTTCAATGTGACCGGTGAAAGTAAACAAACAGTAGACGCAGGTTCTATGGCTATGCAAAGATAAAAGGACAGAGAGCATCAATACATTCATTACTTTCAAATCAAGAAAGCACAGGTAAGATGAACCTTAAAAGCTTTACATGACTCATATACTGATCACGATGATGGTGCATATTACTAACCGATTTGAAAGTTTCATTTGTCTCAATGGCCGTATCAGAAGCCATAAGTCATCTTAACCCTCATTTCTTCCGTTTCACTTAAGATTCTCCACTGCAGATCCATTGGTCATTGTCAAACATTGATGGACTATTACTATTATCATTGAAACACAGCATGGTGACCTTGTACTAAAAGCTTTATACTGATACTTATGCAAGCTTTTCGAAGTCTAGCACACAAAGTTGTGTCCCTTGCCGTAGACGTCTGTGATTACCTGCTGGAGGGAAGAGCTTTCCACGGTGAAGGCGTCCTCTTGGTTCTTCAACACTGTTCAGACAGAAAAACAGATACAAAATAGACACTTCTCAATGAACAGTTCAATCAAACTAAACATTCTGAAACATTCAGAGCAAAAGGTAAAAATATGATTTCCAATAATTTTCACTCTTAGTGTGAAAAGAAAAATAGATTCGCACACACACAAATACATACACTCACACAGACACAATCACACACACACACACACACACACAATCACACACACAATCACACACACACACACACACACACACACAA